TTTAGGGCCACTGTATAGCCAAGAAGTTTTTCCATTGTTTTCCTAATGCTGTCATTATTTATTCTTTACTGCTTGTAGGAATTATTCTTTTAGTTCAATTGATAGATAAAATGTATTTTTGTTCTTATTAATATAATTTAGAAATCATGTAAATAAAAATGTTTTAATTCATCAAAGTATATTTCAAATCATTCTCAAAATTTCACTGATTTCTAGAAGAAACTAAATCATTAAACTGGGGGGAAAAAAATTTAACAAATATAAAAATATAAAGTTTAAATTACAGTTAATGTTGCTATTTTTACTGCCTGTTTTCCTGATAGAAATCTGAAAGGATTAGTTTTGTTTTTAACAGCAGTAACCGTCAAGCTGTTACTACGGGCAAGAAAAAACCATCCCGTGAAGATGAAAATGATGACCTCACCAAAGATATGGATGACCCAACTCCAGAACCAAATATCCAGGAAGTTTCAATCTCAAAGCAAAGTAGGCAGATTTTTAAGCTTATTCCTCAGTAGAACAATTGTCCCACAGACAATTTTTAAATGTTTTGCCCAACTGCAAAAGGTTCTTTTAATCCTTGACAGGAATTGGTTTATATTTCAATCTAAGACCTGAACATTAAAAATAGTGAAACTTTTATTTGTTTTGATTCCTTCATTAAGATAGTTTTTATTTTCTATGTTTGTATTTAATTTATTCATCTATAAGTTGAGAATGTAATAGTCTCTTGAAGAGGAATACAGTTAAATTATTCATTTGTACTTTGCTTTGCCAGGAAATTAAAAGAATAATTTTCTAATTTTGGAAATCCAGAAATATCTCATTAGTCTGTTGTATGTATAACTATTTCACTTTGACTAGTTTTTTGAAATTGGCTGTTTGAGTAAAACCCTTTTTAATTTATTAATTTAAAAACTTTATCTTGAAGCAACAACATCACGAAGTTCAAAAGATAGTGAGTTACAACCCATCAAAGGTGGAACTTATATTGATCTGGATGAAGAACAAACAGATAAGGTAAGTGACATTTTAAGACTAGAAATAATCAGGTAATGTTGTTGGTAAAATATCTGAGCAGTACTTTCACCAAGAAAAATAATTGGTTAATGTGCATCAGCATTTACTCAGTTACTAGTTCAATTAATCAAAATGTGAAAATTTTATTATTTTTGTGTGATATTTACTTTTCTTTTGTTTTTGTTTGTATAGTATGAGCGAGAAGACAGCAAAGGCTCATGTACCACATCCCCTGCTCCAGAGGAGGGTAGTAAAAAGGAAAAGAAAGATGAATCTGAGGACAATGTTACTGAGCAGACGCATCAGATCATCATCCCTAGCTATGCTGCTTGGTTTGACTACAACAGCATTCATGCTATAGAAAGACGAGCTCTTCCAGAATTCTTCAATGCCAAGAACAAATCAAAAACTCCAGAAATGTATGTCTTTAGTTTACTATTCCTATTGCTCTTTACTCTGAAAATTTGAATTTGTTTATCAGTTTTTCTTTCCTGATGCTTTTTATTGAGAGAAAAAACTTGGTAACATTTTTTTTTCTCTCTCTTAATGTGCAATGATTCTCTTTATCGGTTGTGTAAATGATGTTAACACCTTTTCTCATTTTCAATGTATTTTTCTAGTTTCATGGCATATCGAAATTTCATGATTGATACCTACCGACTGAATCCCCAAGAGTATCTGACCAGCACAGCGTGTCGACGTAACTTGGCTGGGGATGTTTGTGCTATCATGAGGTAATTGTCATTCGACATTTTGGTGATATCCTTTTAGTTGTTTTATATTCAAGGTTTTCTTTCACTTCTCACAATACTTCTAGCATTGTTAATTTTGAAAATATTAAGTGTACATATTCTCCAAACATAAAAATTCAAGATTGCTCCTTTCCCTATTTAATATTTATTCCTTCACCCACCAAAATTGTTTCATGATTTGTCCTGTTATACATGCAAAATGAAAGGAAAGGACTTTGAGGTTACTAATACACTTTTTTATCACAGAAATAACTTGATTTTCAAATCTTTTACTATTTACTTTTTCTTTTTTAACATCCTAGTTTGCAAGTAAAAACACCAAACATTTAATTTTCTTTAATTTTCTGTTTCATAATAATAGCTGTAATAATTTGTGTGTGTGTTCCCTTTTGACATTTGATGTTAAGCTGATATGTAGAATTAACTTTTGTATTTTCATGTATGCAAGGGAGTGATGAAAAGAAATTATTCCAGAAAAGTAAAATTTCCTAAGATTTGGGGAAATGTCTTGGACCAAGAACATTTCAGTATTACCCTGTGTTGTTTGTGTGTGATATATCAATGTATATATAATCTCAATAAAATCTCAACTAAAATAGGGAAAGTATCAATGTAGAAGTTTAAAAAAAAAATTTCAAAAAGATCATGAGAATAGATAATATTCCTGAATTTCTTTCAGGTTTTTTTTTTTTTTTTTTTTTTTTTTTTTTTTTTTTTTTTTTTTTTTTTTTTTTTTTTTTTTTTCTATTTAGATCATATAACATCAATGGAAGACACTGAAAAATAAAACAATATATGACTATAGGGATGGAAAGCATAATAATTTAAGATACAATATGTTTAAAATATATAATGCCAGCCATTGTGAATTTGTATGAAATATAGAAATGAACGAAATTGCTTGAAGACAAATGAAAAGGATGTTGGGAATAAGTCTAAGTGATAGAAACATGAAGATTGGTCAGGAAAGGGATTAAAGTAAGGAATTCATTCAAAATGATTTAGAGCAAAAAGCTGAACAGGGCAGATAGCAATGAAAACAGATGGAGGTTTGTTGATTGATGTCAGATGAGTCACGAACATAGTAGGAAAAGACCTGATAGAAGTTGAATGGATAAAAAATAAAAAGATATTTGCTAGTTAGACTTGGCACAATCATAGACAACATGAAAGGGTCTTTTCTCCTGTAGTAATGTTTGGTCATTGAAATAACTAGTTCTTTGGGGGTGTAGTGGTATTGGACCAAGAACTTAGCAGCACCTTCTCATGTATGTGCATAAGTATGTCTTATAAAGCAAAATCTTTTCAGCACCTTGTGTTATAAATGACGAAGGAAAAGAAATGATTTTAAGATCTGTTTTACGTTTCTAATGTGATAGAAAAATGTTAACCTTTTTCAAATTGTCATCCTTTTTCTTTCATTTGTTTAGGGTGCATGCATTCCTTGAGCAGTGGGGTCTGATTAATTATCAGGTGGATGCAGATAATCGTCCAACCCCCATGGGACCACCTCCAACATCACACTTCCACATTCTGGCAGATACTCCATCTGGGCTGCAACCAGTCAATCCAGCTAAGACTGTTCAGGTAAGACACACTCATTTTACTAACCTTTTTCAATGATCACTGCCAATAATCAATACATCATTTAAAGACTTTCATCTCATGATGTCTGCTTAAAACTAAAACAGTTGACAGTATGTACATATCTTGAACAGCCAAAGTATTGTTTTCAACAATTATTACTGAGGGCAACATTTAAAAAAAATAGAAATATTCTATTTTTTCAATATTAGGCAAGAGATAACCCACCGACCCCCCACACACACACACACAACCACATGAAAAATCAAGGTGAAAATGACAGGCTCTCACTAGCATACCTTGTGCATATCATTATCAATCATTCTGAAGCTTTTAACCACATTTTACTTTCCCCCAGAACATTGTTTTCATGTTACCCCAATAAACCACAGCAGTCCTTTTCCTAAAATCAACTACTTGATCTACAACCTGCTCTAATAAACAAAAGCAAAGGTAATCATATCTAATGGTCAACCAAATCCAGGTATGTTTGCTGGTTTGCCTACATCATTCCATCAATGCATACTTAAATAATGTGAAGTGATTTCCAGAATTATGCATTACAAAAAGTGTCAAATATACCATGTTAACTAATATATAGCTAAATAAATGATAATAGTGCAGATTAACCACACTATTTAAACAATTTTATGAGCTTAAAAAGTAATTTAATGTAATATAAAATGGATTAAATTACAGACCAAAATAAAATATTAAAAATATTAAGTGATTATTTTTTTTATTATTCAAATTTACTGATTCTTAGGCAGACTAAAGAGCCAATAACATGAAACTATAGTAGCCTGGCTATAAGTTTAAATCACTCTGAATTTCTTATATTTTATTTAGTATATGTATATAAACATTGTGGACGATGAAATCAACATTACACAGTGACTGGCAGTTTCATGACTTAAGTGCTTAACTAAACACCATTCAGTTTTGATTTCTATGTCCACACTGATCACATCTACAAACGGCCCATTCTCAATATTGAGCACTCAATCCTCCATAAATATATATAGCAAATTTTAAGTGATATATATCCCTCTAATCTTTCTTTGTTTTTCTCTCTTTTTCTTATTGAATTCACCCCAAGCAAGACAGTAAAGCTACTAAGCCACTGTGGGTTACTGAGTGTGGAAGAATTAGGAAACAGAAACATTACTAAGGAGCAAGAACAATAGAGTAAATCAAGAAGATATTGTATTTAAAGTTTTGAAGATTAAAATTGATTGGAAAGCATGGAATCAGAAGACGTACACAAGTGAGATATGTGAGAGAAGAAATTGTTGGCATAAAACTTAGTTACAACTAACCAACTCAACTGTGTATCGATGAGATCTTCTTGCCAGTATAGTACTGTGCTTAAATTCATAAAGTCTAGGTACTATAGCGAACAGCTAATCTGAACAATTACCATGAAAGTATTTATAGAAAAGGCACAGGGAAGCAACTTTACAGTGGTGGGAAAGTGACTGAAGCTGAGATTCCAGGTTAGGACCAATAATATTGCTGATTCTTCTTTGGATTTTATCAATAATCTCTCCATATATAGCAGGAGTATTGGACCATATGTGGCAGAAATATTCTAAGCCTGGGCGAACTTATAAGTTTCTGGAGAGAAAAACTCTCTAGCACAACACAGTGAACCAACTTTCTTAGCAACTGACCTAGCAATAGATTCAATATAGTCTTTCTAGTTCATGTCAGCCAAGAAAGTTAACCTGAGAAGGCACAATGAGTCACTCTCCTGTAGGTTCATGTGTCTGCCATGCTGATGGAAGGCAGAAAGGGGTCTCTCATATGATTAATATAGAGCAGTTTCATTTTGGAGGCATTAAAATTAAGCAGCCTCCAGGTAACAAGAGACTTCAGCTGTCAATTTAACCTTATAAAACTTACTATCGAGATCGGAGTAAATTATTGTCATCAACATGGCTACAAAGTTGAGAGCTGATGCCATCAAGATTGTCGTTGATAAAAATGAAAAACAAAGTAAGACTAAAGATAGAGCCTGGGGGACACCTGCATTAGTACAAAGGATCTAAACGAGTGACCGTTCAGGATAACATTCATTTCACAATTTGGTAAGAAAGACTAAATTGGTTCAAAAATTTTACCAGACACCATAACTTTTCAACTTGTTAAGAAAACTCTGCCAACATTTTCAAGATGTCCAAATCAATAGCCCAAGTTTCACCATTCTTATTTAAAGTTTGATAGATTCTTTCCACAATGATCATCATTACATCAGCAGTTGACCTAGAGAAATGAAAGCCATATTGCTTGCCTGAAAGAATGCCCTGCGATGTGAGATGCTTAACTAATTCAGCAGTGATCAGGGCCTCTAGTAGCAACAGAAGGCTAATAGACCAATAGTTGGAAGGGTCAGATGATTCGCCTGAATTCTGGAACAACAGATGAGGATTTCCATCATTGCAGGAAAGCAGAGGGCAGTGAGGCATTTAATATATAGTTAAGAGAGGATAGGAGCCAATTCAGGAGTACACCTTAAGGACTATTACAATGATATCAGGTACATACATTTTGTAAGGATCCAGATTAGATGATAGAAAGCATGGAACGGGCTATATGTATGTCACTCAACAGAAACTTGGTTTTAAGTGGAAAGTTAAGTAAAGAAATTCCAAACGAGTAGAGTTTAGAGAGAATTTACAAGCAAAACATTCAGCCTTATCAGCAGAAGATGTTAACACCTCAAATTAGTTGAAGAGAGGAAGAATAGAAAACTTCCTTTTATTTAATACGCAATTACAAAACCACTAGTGATTATGAGAACCAAAGTTATTAGATGCAATATGGTCCTCTTAGTAAACAAAGACTTGGCTCCTTCAAGAACACATTTGCATTTATTACATGCAACCATGGATAGGCATCTGTTGTGATCAGAAGTGACACCTGGAAATAGTGGTTCCTGTGAGCTATAGTGGCAGAACAATCTGGTGTGGACCATGGAGAAGATTAATGTTTCACCTGGTATTTCCAAGAAAGAATAAAAGCATCTATGCCAGCTTTGATCCAAGAAGAAACCTTACTGCTGCAATTCTCAATGAGAAGGTTAAAAATATCAAGCCAAGGGTGTCTCAAACAAAGTTACAGGGTTGAATCCCAATCAGCCTGCTGTTGGTTTAGAAAATAAGGAAATTGAACATATAGGATAGGTTGCAGTGGGGATACTTTTGTCCAATGTCATAAAATGCTGTAAAACCAAAATATTTACTTGAGAACTAAATAGCCTTGCCAGATGTAGACTCTCATATGAATGTCATACATGACATCCAAGTCCATTTGAAATATCCAAACTCTCAGCTATATGCAATCATGTTCTTAGATCAATGATTAAAAATGGTTTCAATGAAAGGAATCTTTGTCTTAAAGAAGACAGCCCTTCATCAAAACCTATATAGACTGGTGCTAAAAACTCCTAAAGCTTTACTAAATAACAAAATCATATCACTTGAAGACTTTTAACAGCAGAAACTAAAATGGGTAGAACATGTACCTAGGAAGAGGAATAATGATAACTTTTAATCTTTGACTTTTCTTTTGGGAAAATTACATTATTTTCAACTCTACTTATTGAATGATTATCCTCAGGGTACTAATGTTAGCATTAAAATATAGAATCTTTACATGTTACATATAAAAAATGATAGTAACAAAAAAGAAAAATCTACAGCTACATTTAATATTTCTTGAACAGTCTTAACAGATAAGCTCATGTTATTGGTAATGTTAATAAATACACTGGAAGCTTGCCTGCATGGATCTATTTTAGTAGTGCAGATTTAAACATTAGAAATCATAAATAGGTGCCTCCTACTTTTTTCACTAAAAGATACCATAGCATAATGAAAAAAGGCCCCAAACTTAATAAAAACAAAGTTTTATCATAAAAATGTTTATTATTAATAGGAAAGTCTAAAATATTTTTAATTATTTTAAAAAAATTTTTTAGTCCTTTCTAACACATTCGAAATTTTGGTTAAAAAAAAATGATATTTCTGGAAATTAAATTCCGTCCTTGAAATTTATTTTATTAGTTAAACACATGGCTCCTAGGTGAATGTAAATCCTTTTTGTTTTTTTTTCTCAGTTACTACTTTCTCAAAAATCTGCTAAATAGTAAAATAAAAATATCTAATTATTTAATTAGATTAGTTTTTAATTGCTTTTATGAATAATATATATATATTAATGACTTTATAATCTGAAGAAGAAAAAAATTTTCAATAAATAATGAATTTTTACAAGAATTGTTGTAATTTTCTTTTATTTTTATAACAATTTATGAAGTTTGAAAAATCTTTTTAAAATTCTTCAAAACTTTGTCCCCATTAGGTTATTATTAAGTGAAGACTGTATTTACTGAGTGAAAATTAAAAAGTTAATCATTATGCACTAAGATTTTTAAAAAAAATTTTTTGTGTGTGTGACCATAGATGGCATTATCAGAAAATAAGATCAATTATGATAGTAAATTTAAAGTCAACATTTCGAAAATTAGATTCTAGAAAATATTTCCAACATTTTTAAGATTATTTAAGAATTATATAAAAAAATATTCACCTCATTTTCTTAAATTATATTTTAACAGATAAAATCTCTGTGGGAAAACAATAAGTGTCAGCAACTTATCAGTGTTTAAGTGATTGACTAGTGATAAATAGCATGTAAATCACTGCTACTGTTTGTTTTAAAAATCCATTTCTCTGTTATTTTCAACTTGAAGTAATTTTTTTTTTTTTTTTTTCAGATAAGATTAATTATACTTTCAATTAGCTAATATTTCTCAAATAAAGTTTCCATAAAGTATAAAAGGGTGCTAATTGGCTATTTTAAGAAAAATGTAAAAAAAAAAAACCCAAAAAAACACTGATTCCAATCAATATAACTTCTGCTTGAAATACACCTGAGTATTTTGCTTACAGGAAATAATAAATTTAATACTTCAGCTTTCAATTAAAGCTAAAATGAAAGCTTCAAGAAATCTTTTTCATTTGTGAAAATTCATTTTGAACCTTAGGTATACCAAATTAGTGGAAGGGCCTACATGAAACAAATGACTTAGTTTTGCTACTTGATAAGAGATTAAATGAATACTTGTAAAGCACTAATAGAAAACACATTCTTTTCATGATCTATTAATATATTGACAGCTCATAGCATCTATCAGAGAGATGAAATTTAAGTTTTTATTATTGCATTCTTCCAAAACTTTAACACATCAGCAGATATCTGTTAGTGTGAACAACTGAGCACAAATAGTTATTAATTTAAAAAAATTAGTAATTAATGTATAATATTATCCATAATTACATGTACAAGAATGTTGTTTTTGCTAAAAGTTTAAAAAAAAAAAAAAAAAAATACATAAAAAATGCATATATTGTTGGAAATTTCTTTTCCCACAATATTTGTGCTATATTATGAAGCTTATTACCTAAACAATAATACTGAATAATTTTTTTTTAACAAAGTATGTTTAGTCACCTCCTTAATAGCTGTCACAATCTGTGGAAACTATTCTGCATGCTTGCTCATTACTAGTGAAATGTTTACCTAAATTAAATTAAAACTATGCAATTGTTGTATGTTGATTTTTAATGGTTGTAAAAACTTTTCAGTATATTCTGCTGTACCGAAACCAACCCTCTCCTCGCTTCCTTTGTTTTGCTTTTTAGTTTCACTACTGTAATATTTTTGCATTTTTAGCCATCAGCTGCTCAGCAAATTGTGAATTTTAATGACAAGAACAAAGAGAAAGATGGTGAGGACAAGAAGGACATCTCCAACTTTGGCCTTAGAACTGACCTTTATGCTAAGAAAGCTCTGAAGGTAAATTCTGTGAGAATTGCTTCTCTTTTCTCTACATTTTTCAGCATGAATATTTGGATAAAAAATAATTTCTTTTTCTTTTGTTGCATCTTCCTAATTATTCTAAAAGTTAGATATTGAATTTAATATTAATGGCATAAATAAAACAATATACAGTGAAAATTTCACATCAAAACTTTACTAAATAACCCCATATAAGACTTCTTGATCTGCTCTTGTTTGTTCTATTGTCTATATTTTGTAACTCTTTTGGCAAATGTAGAATTTTGAAAATATCTTTGGTAGGCAATTCCTATAAATTCAATCTCATTACATTCAGTACAAGAATCATCAGGCATTGTTCCTGGAACTAGATTGGCCAGTGTTTATGCATTTATATAAAAGTGAAGTCTTAGTTAATATCTGTATATGTGTGCAGAAACATTGGGAAAGACTGATTTGTATAAATTTAACAAATGACTTTGTATTTAACCTCAGGACAAAGGTGCAGCTACCAGGACACGTGAATGGACCAACCAGGAGCTACTGTTGTTGCTGGAAGCGATGGAGATGTACAAGGATGATTGGAACAAAGTGGCTGAGCATGTTGGCAGTCGGACACAAGATGAATGTATTCTACAATTCCTTCGACTCCCTATTGAGGATCCGTACCTTGAGGAAGATTTTGGCAGTATTGGCCCTTTGGCTTACCAGCCCATCCCATTCTCCCAAACTGGCAACCCAGTTATGTCTACTGTGGCTTTCTTGGCATCTGTTGTTGACACCCGAGTGGCTTCTGCGGCTGCTAAAGCAGCGTTAGGTAATAACATTACAATTTTTCCCTATCTTTTTTCTTTATCGTCAGCTTTCTCTTGTCTTGATCTTTTCTGTATTTACACCATTTTCTTAACAGGTATTATCATCAAGTTATAGAACACTTGTTCTTATTAAAATGAGTTCAATCCTTGCTACTCAAAAAAAATGAAGCTTTTTTTGTCTCTTCATCAAAATGGGAATACATTAAAATACCAAAATATTGTAATAGAAAAGGTTAATTCTTTCAATTGGTCAGTAATATATAAAAAAAAAAAGGTTGACTCATTCAATTTCTCAGAAGAATCACTTTTCAGTAAAAGTAATGCGCACTCAACAGATTTGTCTTCATTTTTTTTATCTGCAAAATCTGTCTTTTGCAAATGGCAATGTCAGAATCTATATCATTGATGATTTTAATCATGATGATGATGAAATAAGACAGTCCATTTTGACCTTCATTTTTATCAGAAATTCCTTGAACTGATCCAACAAGATTATTCCGAGTTTTTGAGGAAAAATTATTTTTCCCATAATTTTTTTTTTTTTTTCTTTTAATTCTCTGCTTTTCATTTTTAATTCTTTTCTTTCTTTCTTTTTTTTTCTTTTCAGCTGAGTTCAATAAATTGAAGGACGAAGTTCCTCCTGCACTGACTAACGCTCATATGAAAGTAGTTGAAGAAGCTATAAAAGAGGGCAAAAATGTGGACGCCAACTTTGGGTTGGATAGAAGTGGCATTGCTGGTACAACCAAAGATGAAAATGGTGAGTAATTCTTTGTTAAATTCTGTAATTTATACAGAACAAAAGATGAATAACGATAGGAAATTTTAAGGTGTAGAAACTTGCAGACATTTTGATCTTCTGATTTTATATTTATAGAATTTGTGTATGTGTGCATATTTCTTAGATAATTGAAATCTTTTTCATGTGTAAAATTGTTCTTGATTTTTCAGAAATTTATTTAAAATTTTTACACTTTAATTCTCTAATTTTTTTTTTATTTATTTATTTTTTATTAGCTGAATCTGCTGAACCAGATATAGCAAAGCAAAATATTCCTGAAGAGGCAGACATGAAGGAGGACCAGAAGGAAGATAAATCTTTGGTAGGTTTCCTCTATATGCAAACTCTTACCACATTAGCATTGTCTTGCAAACATACTACTGGAGATTTACTAAAATATTATAACAGAAACTTTTAAAAATTATAAAACAAAAAGAAAGGAAAACACTTAATAAATATGAAAATAGCCTAGTCATACATAAGGTGTTTTTTTTTTTGTTTTTTGTTTTTTTTTTCTCTCTCTCTCTCTCTCTCCGTATACATGCTTTAATTTTTGTCTTGTTTAAAATGTTTTATTTTTCAGTGTTTTATATTTAAACTTCTTTCTCTCACACACACACACACACACACACACACACTCACTCATTCCTGATTTAACAAAGAAAAGAGATTATATTACCACCAACTTGATTGATGTCCCGAATTGGTTGCCAAAGAGTATAATAACTGACCATTTGTCAAGTTATTATGTTTAGACTCACAAGAATCCAAATGAAATGCGACTAGTAACCTTGTTGAGTTTTTAGATTTTTCAAATAAGTATTTTTTTTTTCTTTTTTTCTTTGGTTTGGTTTTGTTTTAGTCTGAAGAAGCCATGGAAACTGATGCTACAGACAAAAAGTCTGACAAGAAAGAAGAAAAGGAGGAAGTAAGTATTTTAACTTACCTCTCTCACCCAATGAGGCTAACATCCTACCAACTTCCACAACTCTGTTAATCAGAACTGTTTTCAATCATAAACTTTTTTTTTTTTTTTTTTCTTTTTTTTTTTTCTTTTTTCTTATAATTTAGTTTTATAGGAAATTGAATTTTTGGATGGTAGAGCAGATTGTCAGCTGAATATTTTTCAATTTACTTATTGAAAAAAAAAAAAAAAAAAAAAAATCTGTTTCCATCAGTTTCCAGGAAGCATTTATAAATTTTAAAGCTGTGTTTTTTTGTTTTTTTTTTTTTTGTTTTTTTTTTCTCCTTGTTTTTTTGTTTTTCGTTTTTAAATCAATATATTTAATTTGAAGAGAAAAATTTCATGATAGTTCTTAACTATTATCAAAAAGGAGGATGGAGCTATAGTTCAGTTTTTCTTTTTAAGTTTTATATTGGCAACCCATTTGAGACAGTTCCTCTTATTAGTCTGTGTGTATGTGTTGACAGATTTAAACTTCCTCAGTAAAATTAGTTTCAATTTGAATGAAATATCCTGCTTATATGCTACTATTTTTTTATTTATTTTTTTATTTTTTATGCCAAAGTAATAAAGGTGATTGACCCCACCCAGGAACATCCTTTTTTTTTTTTTATATTCTTTGTTAATGAACACTGCTGAGGCACTCTTCAGATGAATAAGAAACATTTTAGTTTCAATTATTTAAAAAGAAAAAGAAATATTTGACTGGTTTTAAACAGGTTCTATTTCTAATAAATCTGATCGGTCTGATTTTCAGGAGTCAAACTCTCCCCAGTCTAGCCAGCAGCCGGCCGGGGATAGAGGTACCGCCACAAGCAGTAGCAGCAGTAGCAGCTCTGGTGCTGCTGCTGCAACTGCCGCTTCTGAAAGTGATGAGAAGGGCGATACCACTGCTCAGAAACAGCAGCAGCAAGCCAGCACCACTGGCCCTGATGGAGCAGATGACAAAAGTGGTGCTGTCAATGCTGCTGCTGACGGCCACAATAAGAATGATATGGCCACTAAGGTGACAGCTGCCTTTGATCCAAAGGAAAAGGGTAATGTCATCACAGCGGCCGCTGCAGCTTTGGCAGCTGCTGCTGTTAAAGCCAAGGTAAGAAAGACGTTTTTTTATTTTTCTTGTTCAGTGAAATGCATTTCTACAAAATAATCAAATGTTTTTATTGCATCTATTATGTATGTGATTTGAACCTGTGCTCAAACCAGTCCAGTCATACTGACAACAAATGTCTCTGTATTTTTGTGGATTAAAATTTTAACTTATTTATTTATGGTTCATTTTAATTGAAGAAAAAAAAATAGCTAACTCTACAAGTGTTTGACACCACTTGTTCCAGGAGATCAGATTTACAGCCACCCACATCTCCCATAAATTCTCTCTCTCATTTTATGTCGTTTCTTGGTAAATTAAACTTAGGGTAACCTCCATATAGTTTCATTATGATCCAAGAATAAGTAAATTCTGGATAGTTCAGGAAAACACTTCATTAGAATTGTTCTGTGCCCCTGAGAGTATTCATCCATGGGCATACACGTGCATAATCTCAAAGACAGCCAGATAAACAATGTAAGGCAATTAAAACTCTAAAGGAGATGAAGTCTGTACATTGGCATGATTATTAATAACCAAAAGGATAAAACTGGAAAAAGAATATAAATACATATACATAAGACTAATTAGTCTGAAAATACAAACAATGGGTAACACAGAATATGATAAGTGACCGTTTGTCTAAATGGTTAAAGAAGATAGTGAGTTCTTCATTTACATGAATATGTATAAACTTTGCTCTGAGAATACATTCCAATATTGCAGTTAGTTCAGAAAAGGAAGTTACAAGAAGGTGGCATTTTGCAACAGTGTGTAAACACGTGTTGAAAGGATTATACTTAGAGAGATACAAAAAACACATATAAAATATGGTTTACTTTAAGCAAATGTTCAAATAACATCATGGAAATAAAAGTTACAAACCGATGGTGGTTAACTTTGGGGATGAGATCAGGAGGATAAAGCTACCAACCCCATACTCAGTGTCATGTCATTATTGTGAGGGGTTCCAGGGAAGGGCTAAACAGATGTGATCAAAACGGTGACCAATCTAAAAGTTTCTAAAGTAAAAAAAGGGAACAAACATAGGGGAAGTAAAACAAGAAAAAAATATCACAATAGTTTTTAAAAAAAAAAAAAATTCACCTCACAATTCAGTTTTCTTTCCTTTGATTTAATCTTGTGCATATCTTATTTCTCTTTCTTACCTTTTTATTTGTTTTCATATTTAATCAACCAGAATTAATTAACAATCAAAATATCTTCTTTTTTTTTATGATTTTTGATATTTTCATTGTACTCTCTACCTTAATCTGCTGAAAGGATTTTTATTGATCAGTATTTGATAATTACAAAGTTTGATTCCATATTCTTAGCAGTTTCCATTCTTGATTCTTATAGCACCTTGCCGGAGTTGAAGAAAGAAAAATCAAAAGTCTTGTTGCTCTTTTGGTGGAAACTCAAATGAAAAAGCTTGAGATTAAATTACGTCATTTTGAAGAACTTGAAGCTATCATGGATCGAGAAAGAGAAGCAGTAAGTAGCTTATTAGAGAGAAATTTGCTGAGTGACAAATAATTATTCTTATTTTCTATTTTGGGATGTTGACCATTTAACTTTTCTGTGATACAATTTATCAACATGCAAGGAATAAATCTATGAAAATTCCTGAAAATAGAAATTTTTACTAAATATTTATAAATTATATTATATGGATGTTAAATATTTAACTTAGAGATTCAAATTCACTTAACACATTCGTCTCCAAATGATGTTAACATTTTCACTACTTTATATGTTAAGCATTAAACAAAAGATTGACACTTGAGGTATTAAAATAGCAATACATTTAAAATAACTATAAAAAAAAATGTTCCTTACATTATGTTTAATGTAAAATGATTTGCAAAATTAGAAGAAACTTTATTATTAAAGGCTGTCACTAAATAAAAATGTTTTAAAGTTCTTATTTTTGGTTTTGGGTTGAGCAGAATTGTAGAAATGTTTATATCTATTAAATTTTGTATAATTTAACTCCATTTTGATGTGAATGAATATTCGTCATCGTCCCCTCCCCGCCTTTTTTTCTGATGTTATTTTCCTGTTCTGTTTTAGCTGGAATATCAACGCCAACAGTTGCTACAAGAGCGTCAACAGTTCCACATGGACCAGATTCGAGCAGCAGAATACCGTGCTCGGCAGATAGCTGCCCAACAACACATGAATGAACAACGCCAGCAGAACCAAGGCCAAGGAGGTGCTGGGGACCAAGGTGAGAAGCATTTTCTATTTTCTTTCATGTTTTTGCTTTTCTTATTCAAAACGGATAACCAAATTATCATACTACTATTACTACTACATTAATTTATTATAAAAGATTCATTTATTGGCATTATTCAAGAATATGTATTCTGTCACTATATTATAATTTTTTTTATATGCCTTTTTTCTGTAACTTAAATGTTTCTTTGATAATTTGCTTTTTTTTTTTTCTTTCTTTCTTTTTTTAAATGCCTTGGTCAGTTATGGTATAAATATAAAACTGAAGTGTATAAAATGGCAATTTATATCACATCATTATTTGATATTTTCACTATTTAAGCTTTTAAAATTCTTTCACCTCCTTTTTATATTGAATTATAAAAAAGGTTTTCTCTTAAGATAAATAGAGGACCATAGTGAGTAGCATAAATTATTTAATGCATTTTATTCCATACTTTGAAAGTTTATTGTAGACAAAGCTATGTTTGATTTGAACTCTTGATAATTCATATTGCCTTGATGTGAGTTGCCTAACTAGTGTTCATACTGGCTCACCAGATGTCAGACCACAACTGATATAAGCCTGGGTATTTTCATGACCTCAATGTACAGTATTACCACCCACCATATACCCTTTATATACTACTACCTCATGTCTTTTGACATGTGGTAAACAAAGAATGAACAGACATAAATCCAAGTAGAGCTCTCTCAACTCATGGCACCATTGAAAAAGCTGCCCCAACACTAACAGGCATCACTCTTGTATAGCTGTAGCCATAGCTACAAATCAGCTATGATCCATTTGATGACAAAGCATCACCATTCTCATGCAAATTAAAACAATTACCATCTATGTTGTGAGACTGGCTTTTCCAAACAGCCAATCATTTAGGAAAACAAAACTCTTATCTACACCAGACACACTCTAATTGATATTTCTTTTTTTTCCCCTCATTTGCAAATCTTGATGTGATTGCTCAATTAAAATACAGTACTTGCTTGATTTCCCAGGCAACCAAAATATGTTCAGATAATTCAAAATTTAGTTTAACACTGACTTGTTCAATAAAATTTTCTGTCATCACAGTGATCAGAACTACAATATCAGTGAAGTCATGTTAAATGTAATTTTCTCCATGACTTAAAAATTTATTTCTGATGATATCTGGTTCCACACAAGGCATATCCTTTCAATGACTTTAAGCATATCAATTTTTTTTAAGAATGTGAGAACATCTATGTTGTCAGTAGGAATTTATTCCCACAAAATTGACTTGTGGTGTAAGTGCTTCATAGACTCTAGCACACCTTGATCCATTGGCTGATTGAGTGACATAATATTAGTTGGGGAAAAACTTAGCAGTAATTTTTCCCTTCTACAAGCTCTTCCTCACTAGTAAAAGTTATCTAAAAATAAGAGGTTTTGTTCAATGGCCAATTCACTTAACTCAGCAAGAACAAAATAATTTAGAAATCAATCGTGGAATATTACTGTCTTCCAAAGTATTTTTTTAAAAACTTTCTATAGACTACTAGTAACATGTTTTTGTCTTCTCCATAGAATCATCTTGGGTTTTTGCATTTTATAACATCATTTTAATGGAACCTGTGATGTTCACACTAGCACTTATTTTCACTTTTCCTTTTGCTTGTTTGGTTCTGGTTAGATGATCATGAACAGATAATATTCTTGTGAGCAAGACTTTGTAATACAGGCCCTTTTTATCACATTTAATATATGGATTTCACTTTCTCTCTCTATGAACTCAGTTTTTAAATTTTTTTCTTCCGCACCACGTTACAAACATTAATTTCTCCTACGATGTTTTTTGTTTTGCTTTATCATTCAAATTTAAGGCAATTTCAATTTTAAATTATAAAATCACAATGCAGAAGTATGACAAAACGAGATTGGACTGTTGAAAAGTAAAACCACAGAATGAACTGTCTTCTCAGTCAGGAAATGTTATTGATTTTAATTTCATTTTCAGATAATTAAAATTAGGGCAGGGTGATTGTTTTTTAGGGTTTATCAACCCTTTGTGGGTTATTTAAAGCCAAAACATTTCAGATTGTAGGAGGTTGCTTACAGGTAACTGGTGTTTACTGTGCAATTTTGACCATGGGCACAAGAAGTGGTACTTTTTAGTTTATATTAAGGATATGACTATCTTAATTCTAGGTTTCAAGTAATTTTCTTCTACTAATCTGTTATAATTTATCAAAGAAACATTCCTTAAATTTTGTTCAACCAATCTACCATATATTTTAACAATTGTGTGTTTTTTTATTCTTATTTATTTCAGGCTCTCAGGGTTCTGGATCAGGTTCTAATTCCAACTCCTCTTCATCCCAAAATCCTGCATTAGCTGCAACTGTAGGCCCTAATTATCCACTCCATGGCTCCCCCATGCCACCCCAGGGTCCACAGGTCCACCAACATGTGCCACACGGGTCTCCTGCTCCACCCACACCAACTAGCCAAACTCCAACTCCCCAGCCAGCTCAACCTAGCAATCCACAGCCAACAGCTACCCCTGTCTCAAATGCTTCGGTGACTCCATCTCCTGCTACACAAGCAACTCCAGTGTCCAATGCCAGCTTCAGTCATGGGTCAACTGGTTTCACACAAAGTGGTGCCAACAATAGTAACAACAACAGCAACAGTAGCAATAGTAACAATAATAGTAACAACAACAGCAACAACAGTTCCCAGCCACACAGTTACCCTCCTCCGTCATCTGCCAATGCTCAAGGACCAACCCAACCAGGTCAGTTTGGGCAAAGCACTAATTCTTCCCCTGCGGGAGGTCCTCCACCAATGATGCCCCAAGGTGGTCCTCCTGCTGGTGGAGCAGGTACTGGAGCAGCTGGTCCTGGTGGCCACCAGTTTCCTCCTGGCCCTATGGGACAGCAGCCTCCTTATATGACACATAGTGGACCTCATGGCCCCCAAAGCCAGCCACCATATCCTCAACAAGGACCTCCCAATACATCACAAGGCCACCCTCTTATGCCACCTCAACAGGGCACTGGAAATGCAGCCAATCAGTCACCACACCCTTATCCCCCTCAGCAAGGATCCCATGGTCAGCCATTTCCTCACTCAGGTCATAGTCACCCCCATTATCCCCCTCAGGGTGCCAGCAACACTGGGGCCTATCCTCCATCCAGTCAACCTTCACAGCAGCAACAGCACTATCCCCAGCAAGGCCCACCTCCACAGGGAGGACAGTATCCCCCCTATCACCATCAAGGTCCTGCACAGCAAGGGCAACACTTCCATCAAGGCCATCCTCCTCAACAGTATCCCCAGCAACCTCATGGACCTCAGGGGTCCTATTCACAACAGAGCTATCCAACTGGACCACCTACCCAAGGAGCACATCCATATCCCCATGGATCTGGAAGTCCTTACTCAACACAGGGTCATGGCATGCCACCTCAAGGGACTCCTATCCCTCCTACTGGACGACAAATGGGCCCAAGTGGTGCACCAGGTAAGTTATGTTACTGTTGTCATCAGACTAAAGATATTACTTAACTGCCAATTTCTAAATAATAATGAGTGTAAATATTTGAAAGATGAATAAAATCATCAATAGTGGGAAGATAAAATTGAGTTTAAAAAAAAAAATGAATCCTTAAAAAATTTTTTATATATTTTCTGCTCCTCCACCCAAGTCTTTAAAAACACATTTAAATAAATTAATAAACTAAGTAAATTATTGTAAGTATTATGCCATTTTAAAAGTGAATTTAACTTTAAATAATTGTAATTAAGAAATTTTTATGCTCATCTGTAAAATCTAAAAAAAGGTCAATGATTATCATTTTACAAATGAAACTTAGTTTTCTTGATATTTCTGACAAATTGTAGTAATGTGCTTATCATTCAATGTTAGTCTCTGACACAAAAATCTTTTCTTTTTCATCTCCCTCTCTCCATTATGTATAATCTATAAAGACTTTTTACAAGATTAAATAACTTTTTTAATTGATTTAGAAAATATTTTCCATGATCATTTTGTAAAAAATCTAGTGATGTTTATTCTGGATAGTCTAAAATGTTTACTAGCCATTGCATGTTTAAATAAAAATATGCTGTTAAAATGACTAAATATCACTAAGAATTGAATAAATTCTTAATACATTGATAGAAATTGCTAAAGCAATTGTCTGATTTATGGCAATTCATTTTAACATTAAATTGAACAGTTCTCTCTCCCACTCCCCAAATATAAAGGAACAATTTATTTTTGCTGTTTTTAAATATAAGTATAAAGCCTTAGCTCACCTTTGAATTATTTTTATGTTGTATTTATCTCATAATGATGGACACAGAAATTGGTCCTAAATTATTTTTAACAACTGTAAAAACTTTTATAACTTCCTTCAGAACACACATGACAAGATACTGAATTATTTAAGATCAAAGTCTTGGATTTGGCAAAACTCATCAGTTGTTATAGTGTCATTGTTCAGTTTGTTTAATATTTCTGAAGCTTTTATTTATCACTAAGATACTTTTAAAAAATTGTCAGATGTCTACTAATTGATGGATTTTACTCTGAAAATTACTGTATCCACATTTTTTAAAATTTTCATGATTTTTCAGTTTCAAATTTTTTGATGTGCTTGAGAAAATGCCATAATTGAAATGTTTAGTTAAATATATTCTTCTGTCTGTTTATTAATAAGTATGGAAATAAAGCCAAATTGTAAATTTATGGTTCATTATAAAGTTAAAATAGATTAAAAAAAATATTTAAAAAAAAAAAAAAAACCTAAAAAAAAAAAACATTTCTATAAATGCTTGTTTAATGCTATCTAATTAATTTCCTTTTTAGGCACTGGTGGCTCCTCCGATGTTCCCGACAATATGGTAGCACAGTCTCCAGCCACTCCTTCTCCAAAGCCCTAACATCTTGGCATCTCTTTCTCGTCTATCACTCTTCAGCCAAAAGCCGACTACTGCTGCAACTGCTGCTGCTGAAATGGCTTCTTCCTACTCCTTCTCCCCCCCCTCCCCATATCCCTTGCCTCTTCATAATAACAGCCAACAGCAACATCTCAGGTGTCTGCTCCTTGTCAAATATTTTATTGTGGTTTGGTAGCAGTTATGTCGGCCCCCAGTTGAGGAAATGCAACACTCCATTTACATTCTCTACCAACAACTGGTGATTCATTATAATAAACATAATTTCTCACTCCAGACAGCATTTCATCTTCATCTCATCCTCATCATCACTCACCACCACCACCACCACTATTACTGTTATGATTATTACTGCTATTATTATTATTATTATTACAATTTCAACTGATAAACATGATCATCGGTAGCAACAGCAGCTAGAAAGGTGAATGGGTGGGCTGGCAGGGTTGGGTTACAGGCAACCCCCAACTGGAACCTCCACTGACCCTATGCTGCAGTATTTGATCTGAAGGCCATCTCTCCGTTCCTGTTTCTCCTATTTCCATTATTGTACCCTTCCCCTGCCTACTCCTCTAATTTTGTATATGTATGTATGTATGTGTGTGTGTGTGTGGCATAATTAATCTTAATCAGTATGCGCTCTCACTAATGACAGTCAATGGACCATCCATCCACTGAAACTCACCCACCACCCACTTACTGCTGTCATCTGTCACTTCGAATTGATCACCCACAAAGTTAATTTAGTTTCATTTTGTTTTTTTTTTTGTTTTTTTCCTTACTCAATCTCCCACACTCCCTCCCTTTCCCTACATCTCCCAACATTTTCCCTCTTCACCCCTTTTTCCATCCTCAATTCATGAACCCCTTTTATTTGACAATTTTTTTTTTGTTTGTTTTTGTAGTCTTTATCTTTCATTCCAGTTTGTTGCCAGCACCAGTGGGACTCTCAGCTATTAGACATATAACAGTGTTGTTCCACGTTTTGTGAACACTCTCTGTATTCCTCTCCCTCTCTCTTTTCTTCCTTCCTTCCCCCACCCTTTTTCTGGAGGGGTGTGAGGGGTTTAGGGAGGGTTACTTTGTCGTTTTCGGAAATCTTCCATTCACCTGTAGATCATAGAATTTCAGCAATAAAGAATCATCTTTTATTAAAAAAAAAAAAAAAAAAAAAATTACTTTTTTTTTTTCCTTTTCTTTTTATCAACTTTCTCATTTTTTTTTTATTTTTTTTTTTTCCCTTTCTTCATTGCTTTTCCTCCTCACAAAATAATTTTTCATCCTATTTCACTTATTTAAGAGACAAATAAACATTTTTTGGGTCAATTTGCAAAAAGTCTTTGAATGTTCTTTACAATTTTGAATAGATTTTTAGTGTCAACTTTTTAAAAAAAAAAAGTCTTAATAGGTAATCATGACTGTACTAAACAAGTTGATGATATTTGTTTGTGTGATGCTTTACACTTGATATAATATAGGTGATCTAAACTGAAACTACACTTTGATCTGGTGTTATATGACAATGAGAACAAATGTCTTCCTTGAAGATATATTCCTTGACTCTCTCTCTATGAAGATGAAGAAACAGGTTGTAACAAAACTTTCACAGAATTACAAGTAGAATTTAGAAAGTGCTAGGGATTTTATTTTTGCTAGCATCTATTCTCAATATTTCTCCTAGGCTGATAAAACCTAAAAATGGTTAGACATGAGAATATATTTTTAAAAAGTGGAATCTATGACTCCAATTCTACTTCATTATAAGTTAATCTAATTATCTTTTATTCATTCCGGAGGTTGTTTATCTTTTCAGCAATAATTTTCTTATCTACATTTTACTATTTGGTTACTCAAAGACAAAATAAAGGTTTTTCTTAATGCACACATTATTGATAAGCTGTAACAGAATATATTTTCTTTTATTAAATAATTTTAATTTTTGTTTGACTTCTGAAGGAAACAAATTGACTCAATGTCATTTTTTCTTGGCAGCTGAGATTGTTTATACATATTTCACTTTGTTACATCAGCTCTAACCCAGGGACATGTTTTTATTTATTTTTCTCTGTACTTGTGTAAAGTCTGTAGAATTTCACTTTTTATTCTTGTCTAAAATATTTCTGACATCCATCAGTCTGTTGCAAAAAAAAATAAAACAAAATTCCTCATTATTAAATGGCAATTGCTGCAATATAATTCTTTACTGCCAAAAATATTTTTTACTTTTATTTTATGGTGTAAACCATTGCTAAAGACTAATACCAAATATGCCTTAAAATTCCCCCTCCCTTTCTCTATTGTTGTTTCATGTATTGGTAACAATTTTGAATGATTTTTATTGTTAATATTTAAAAATATCTAAAACTCATTTTCTTAGCTTTTTGAATTCTTCAATGTATGCAAAAAGTGTTTTCTCAGGGAATTTTGAGGACGTTTTTAAATCTTTTCCAAGGATACATTAGAGTGAAGAAGAATTGGGGTGGAGTGAAAAGGGCTATTTTGTGTGGTACCTTTCAAATTAACACTACTCTTTCTCTTTATTGACAATAGATTTATCAGCCATTATTTTACGGTTTTAACTGTTTGCACTCTATATATACTGGATATGGTAGTTATATGTAAATGATATCATCTTTTGACATTTAATTAACTCTGCAGACAAAATTGCATTTACTGAACTACGGTTATTACTCTTCTATTCTATAAGGATTTTCATTTTTCATTTGAAAAGATTTATGCAAATGACAAGCATTAGTGGATGAAATGCATTTTTACAAAGTTTTGATTTGTAGATCTTGTATTTCTTTATCAGAATGTTTGTTAATCAGCAAATCACATCCTTATTTTATTACTTGTCTTCACTAATGCACACAGACACCATGTTACCTACTGGTGTAAAGAACTATTCTAGTGTGTGGGTCCCAATCACCAACTCTTGTCCTACCTTAAATCCTCATTTGGAAAGACAAGTGCATTTAACAATGAGGAAAGGACAAGGTACAATAATTTTATGGTAAACCCTCACTATGGAGCCAATTCTTCATTCAACCATTTTAAATGGGACTGTAGCAATACAAGATAGCTAATAGATTTTACTAGTATTATAATGCAAGATAAAGAAAGTGTTATTTTCATATGTACGTCTGAGATTATTGTGATCTTGAAAAATGTTATCTAGAAAGCCAAACTTTTAAAAGAAATTTACATCAACATGTTACTTATGAAAGAAGCCGTCACCTCTTCCAGTACAGTAATAATATACATCTATCAATGTATTTATTCAGTTTAGTTTAATATGGTACAAGTTTTATTGGCTTGTGAAATTACTATATCCCTCCCCTCTCAAAAGTCCTCCTGATTGCATGAACTGTGTTAGACTAATATCTAAACTCTTGTTAGACACTAATCCTTTATTGACTTCAGAACAAAATATATGATTATGAATAAAAATAATGTTAGAATATTAAGGAAAAACAAAAAACATCTAACCATGGATGAAGTGTCATTTGGATGTTTTTTACCTAAATATTCTTTGCCAAATTTTAAGTACTTAGTGCAATGCTTAGGCAATGCACCCTAAATAGTTAACAATTAAGTTTGATCACTATAATGAAGATGAATTCACTGTTAGCAAAGTGATTTGTGCTACAATAGATGTCTGTGGAGGCTTGGCATATTGCTTTTTATCTTCAATTAACCATTACAAGATAAACCTATTTCAATGATTACTTTCAATCTTACTGACTCAGTCAGTCCACTGCTTAGTCAATCCTTTTTTATTCTTGCTCCTTGAAATTTTTTTTTTTTATTTTGTCTACATCATCCTTCCCTAGGCTTCTGGCTTATTTAATAGGCATTCTTACAAACTGGACCATTGCATCGTTGCAAGAGAAAAATGAAACTGACATAAAACCAATTTAGTCTGTTACATTAGTCTGCATCTGTTGAAGCTTTGTTAGCATTGTGCTATAGTCATCTGTGGGAGGTGAAAATAGACAAGTTGAAACATTTTTCTATAGAAGGTAAATTGTTCTACATAAATGGTAAGATGTGATATCAACCAACTACTATGGAGATATCCGTGCATTTATATAATTAGTAACATGTCGCTAGGCATCATTATTTTACTTAAGCATAATGGTGGAGACTATCAAGTGGCATGTGTTGTTTCTTCAAACCAGTAGACTTCCAGTTCAAGGTAATTCTAAATTGTAAAGAAGATGAATTTAGTTTACTTCATTGGGAACTATAACATGAAGTAATTTGAAGATTGCATAATTGGAATTAAAGATATTAGACAGTGTTTATTTAACTTCCCCTTTCTACCAAAATAAGCTCTGGCAGCTGGAGGAGGAGAATATTTGGTTTTATCTCTAGCCTGAGATGGTGGGGGGGGTTAGTTTGCCAATTCCTGCAATTCCAACATGTTTGGATTCTCATTCTGTCAATGTTTTCTTTATTACTGGAATTAATTCTATGCATGAAAACAATCTTTAACATTTGTAGATAGATTTCATTTCATATTTAATGCCATTCATTTTCACATCTCTTGGAATTGCAGATTTTGTAAGACTGGATTTTGTATCTAATTCTTATTGGTCAGTTCCAAAGAGATTATAATCTCCATGTCTAATTGTTTCTTTAACCTATTGTGTAAGTCTTCTCATCTTGCACAAATTTTGAAAAGGTGTTACTTTTTCTCACCTAATATGATTTCATTAAAGAGTTATATTTTAGTTGTTGTTTTGTGTTTCTAACTTTAAATACACCAAACCCTACACTGTCCATTAATTTGGAGATTTACTAAATTAACCAGGCTGAATCCATCAACACTCATTTTTGTGACAGTTGGCATTAATGTTATAGGTACTGGATTTTAATTTTTTTCTAATTGATACCAGATTTGATGGAAGGATTAAGCTCAGTTTTCATTTTCTTCTCCCCCCACACTATTTTAAATATTTCCAGTGAAATTTTAATGAGAG